AGCGGCGTTTTATTTACTTAGGGGGCGCTGTTGGCCTACTTGTAATAAAATGAAAGTAAAATACACGAATGCCATTAAGATACTTGTGTTTCTGAATAAATAAAGCAGTATCGATATCATAAAATCACGATTCTGTTTTGATTTAAAGGTCAGAAGCTATAGCATACATGAATAAAAATGACAAGCATGACACTTGTAAATTAAATAATTCGATATAAACAGATTTATTCAGTAACATGTAATATTTTTTTTTCAAATGGATTATGAAAACTTAAATATTAGGAGCTCTAAAAGCTCTAAAAATTTTGAATTTTTACAGCTCTTTGCTTTAGACCATCTATTAATGTTAAATCCACAAATAAAATGTTAAAGTTTCAACTGCTTCTGTCTGAGAAAAAAAAAACAGCAGAGATTGATTTTATTACATTTATTTTCAAGGCTTTCAATGTACTCTCATTAAAAGTTTATTACTTCTAACAAATAAGTTTTTGCTCGAAACTAACCAAAATTAAAATAATTTGTTTATAATTTCCACACAAGAGAGACTTGGTGTTGTTTCAAAACAAAGGGAAATATATATCGGTATCGGCATTGGTTATCGGCCAAAATGATTTGAAAAATATTGACAAAAATATAATCTTGTGCATCCCTACATAAATATTTTTTCTTAACTCATTGGAAAATAGGTTTCCTTGTTCTGTGCAGAAATTATACATGGGTTATCGGCCAAAATGATTTGAAAAATATTGACAAAAATATAATCTTGTGCATCCCTACATAAATATTTTTTCTTAACTCATTGGAAAATAGGTTTCCTTGTTCTGTGCAGAAATTATACATGTTTTTTTTTTATTTATAAGAAAATTATATTTGCAGAGTTTTGAAATACCTTTTTTCTTTTTTCTTTTACAGAAAATCCAATCAACATTAAGACCACAGTTTCTTATTCAGCTGTAATAAATATCAGTTTTTTTTTTCTTGTGGAATTTGTACCTGATCATTGTTGTTGTTCATGAAAGTGTTTGATGAGCCTCAGTGCTGACGCTCCTTTCCAAAGTTAAAAATGCCACTGGGCTTATGAGAGCTGATGAGAGAGCTGATTTACCTTAGACATGGAAAAATGTCAGGCAATATCTTCAGCCTTTCAAGAACACAACAGAGAGAAATGGCCTGAGGAGTTACTAATGCTTCCGATGGAAAATATGAGCTCCATGTGGTCCGATACTCAATGACTTGATCATCTTCACTCGAGCCAAACATCAGCACTAAATAATCACTGATGATACATGAAGTACAGCCGATCACGACTGATGCCCAAAGTAGTCCTGTTATCCATGTGGAAGCATCATAATTCTCCCTGAAGAATTCTTAAATGAATAGTTCAAACTGTAAATAACCCACATGTTTTAGTACTTCAAAAGAAATCCAAAACAGTCCAGGTTTCTTCATCCTAATGGACCATCCCATCTCAAGCTTGTTTAGGCATGTACAGTATATAGTGGAGACTGGGGCAAGTTGTCACAAGGTCCGTATCTCAGTCTCTGTGAGGTTTTGCACATACAGTGAGCTTCTCCAGCAGTGTTTGATGTTGATTTCAAATATCCAGTTCATATGATACAGTTACAATCTGATATACACTACTGGTCAAAAGTTTGGGATCAGAACTATTTTTAATGTTTTTTACAGGAGTTTCTTATGCTCATCAAGGCTACATTTATTTGATCAAAAATACAGGAAAAAA